CTTTTACAGCCTTACAGTATATCCATTTGTGATTTTTTATACCATCAGACCTTGATTTTAGATTTCTATACAAATAACACCACAAAGTCCATGAAAAGCATCTGGGAAACACCTTCTAACAGCGTTGTCAATTGAGTTTGCCCTATCGGATATGATTGTCAGATTGCTAATAGGACCTATGCAATCCCTAAGATGCCCCATAAACCATGTCCATGAATCAGAGGTTTCAGATTTGCCAACCCCGTAAGCTATTGGCAGTATCCCATTGTTAGCATCCATGGCTACTGCTAATAAGTTTACTCCAAGGTATCGACCTTTTAAATGTGCTCTGTCAACTATAATAACTGGGCGCATGCAAGTAATAAACGAACGAATCTACAAAATCATATACACAAGAAATATAATCATTTAAATGTGAAATGCATGTAACTAACAAAAATGAGTCAACAAAATTATATTGATTTGCTAACCGCAGCACCAATGGCGATAAACAGCAACTCAAAGCGTCCATCTCTATCTGTTTTGATATGAGTTACCGACCCAGGATTTTTCAGCTTTAAATTGTGACAATAAGCCGGCAGTTGGGCAAACAATGCTTCTGGCGACCCCCTCAACAATTCCAAGGCATAACATTTGGCTCTCCAAGCTTGAGAATATGAGATACTAATCTTGAACCGAGCATTCATGTCAGTCATAATTTCATGTCCCCGATATACCCTGCCATTCAAAAACATTAACTCAGCCAGAAAACCACCCAACACCTTTTTGTTTGCCTGTCTATGGTGAGGAAAAACTTGGGTTCTCGAACATGTATGTTTATCAATAAAAGTCCTAACTTGAAACATTTCGCAATCTTTTATCCTATTTGCAATCATACGCCACGTACAGTTTTTGTCAATCATACACCTTGTTTCGAAACGATATTTGCTTGATTTGTTAACTTTTAGTTGATATCCATCTTCCACACATTTCGTATACAAAGCTATCTTCAAGTCTTCCTTTGTATCAAAACAATCATCTTTCTTGATACAAATAATTTTTGTGTAACAATCAACTGCTATTTTTACCAACTCTTCTTCCGGTATCTGAAGTAATTCTGGCATATTCCAGTTATACTCCCGTGGCATTTTCTTCGGTGATTTCTTTTTCTTCTTCAGGGTTATATGAATTACAGAATGGATGTTCAACATGTTCATTCACAGTCGTAACTTCCTCCTCATTATAACATGTTCATTCACAGTCGTAACTTCCTCCTCATTATCATCAACAATATCTTCCTCGACAGCGGCTGTTTCATCATCAAAATTCGGGTATTGACCAATATCAAAATCATTACACGTAGGGTCTGTTTCTTCTTCTGAAACATCATCAAAATCCGAGTATTGACCAAGATCAAAGTCCGGGTATTGACCAAGATCAAATTTCGAATACCGACTAGTACTCACAATTTTTTCTGTTGGCTCATCATCGTCTAACTGGTTGATACGAAAACCGGAATTTGGTGCTGAAAGTTGATTGGGATTTGGATTAGGGAAAGATTGTGGGTTTTGAGATTATGTTTGGTATTGGAAATGTGGTGAAACAAAATTTGCTTGGTGATGAAATTGTGGTGAAACCATTAAATTTTGAGCACCATAATCTGGGGTTGAAAAACTTAGTTGATTACTACCCGCTACTGACCCAACTTCACTACTTCTAGGTTCAACAACATACAATGACATCATCTTGCGAAACACTAATGTAAGCAATGAATCGTTCAACATCTTTATTGTCGGTTAACAAATAAACTTTACATTTTCTCTGATAAGATAGCCTAAATCCACTTAAGGGCTCTAAATTCAATTTATTTGCAACACGTAACATTAAAGTTTCATAAGTTAACTTTTTTAATGATAGTTTTAGTTGAAGATTCATGGGTAAAGACATATATTGTAAAACACCATGAACATTCTCCCATTACCCTTCAAAACACAAATATATCCAAACATGATCAACATTAGATGATTTCATTATTGTAAATTAATTTACTAAACAAACGAGTTGCGAAACTAAAACCTGTTGCCGGATGGGGAATGATGTCGTTGGATATAGAAATGGATGTCGCCGGAGAGAGTGATAGATGGAGATGGAATGAGTTGCGATTTAGGGATTTAGGTTATGAGTTGCTGCTGCTGCGTAGTCATATACCCAAAACATTTGTGTTGCGAAACTAAAACCTGTTGCGAATTCAGAAATCGAGTTGCGAATTTGAAATTCAGTATTGCGATAGTCAGAATCTCGTTGCGATAGTCAGAATCTCGTTGCGATAGTCAGATTCGCGTTGCGATTTACGTATTTGCATTGCGATTTACGTATTCGCATTGCGATTTACGTATTCACATTGCGATTTACGTATTCACATTGCGAATTAGGAAAATCACAACGCGAATTTAGAAAATCGCAATGCGATAGTCAGAATCGCGTTGCGAATCTGGAAACTGATTTGCGATACCGGAGATCGCGTTGCGAATTATCAATTGCATTGTGATTTAATTGGTCATTTTGGCAAATCCAAAAAAAGTTGGTTAAAATCCTATATTATAAGGCATTTTTGGTCACTGAGATTATTTTCTTTTAAAAATTTGATATGACCCGAACTTTATTTTTTAAAAAAGAAAAAAGAAAAAAAACAACATTGTAAGAACAAATTAAAACCCGTCGAATCCAAATCTCATGTTTATCTCTAATTTCGTCCCGAACTATAATTAATAATTACTTTATATATATATATATATATGGTTGTTGCTCCATCAACATTGTGTTTCCTTATCTTTAAAATTAATTTCCAATTTGTATTCAATTTGTCAACTTTATATGGTTGGAAAGTTGTTACATGGTGAAGGTTTCATCTGTACTATGTCTAATAGTAAAACGAGTTATTAATGTAGACGGATATGAACTCTACTGGGTTGAAGTCTATTACGTATCATTATATTTAAAATTTTATTCTAATATTTTTATTAAGAAAATAAATATTTTAGTCTTTTTAAGTTAAATATTCATTTTAATCCATCTATTATGAAATAGACATTATAATTTTTGTACATTTGAAAAATAAATATTTTGGCTTGAATTTGTTTAACTTTGAGTAATTTATGTCTAAGGGGAGGGAAAGAGAAGAATTTTGGTCCAAACGTTTAGTTTTTGTTTCATTTTAGTGTCCCGCCGTTAAAAATTTATTGGACGTGCTCGTCTGCTGCCGTCGCGTACCGACCATCGCATCTGTCGATCGATAAAGCCCAAACTTTTCAACCCGTACCTTTCCAACCCCCTAAACGTAAAATTTTATTTTCAAAATAAAATTGAACCATTCTAAATCATTGTGTCGAATTATTTTACTTTTTACTTCCACACTCAAAACTTTTAAAAGGTCAATTCACCCAATCTTGACATAATTTCGAGTGATCCATAGAGCCTTAATAATCCTAACAATATCTCAGTAAATAGATTAACGTCCAACTCAGACTATTGTCGATTTTTTAACAGAAAATGATGAGTTTAGAGCATATAAATAGTCAAGTAATCATTTTATAATTTTTAATAATCAGATAACTCAATAAAATAATATTTTATAATAAAAAAATCATTTGTATACTTTACTAAAATATTAATTTTTATATCGAATAGGACAAGAACGTGGGAGTATAAACAGTCCACATCACAGGGACAACATCATGATTAGGAGATGAAAAAAGAGTTATTCATCCAACATTTCTTTTTTCATGTTTGGTCATATATGTACAAATTACTTGACACGTGGTGTTTCATGATGTAGATTAGTTTCATGGAAGGTATATATGGTCATATGCAAGTTATTATATTAAAAAAGTAAAATAATAACTAAAAATATTTAAATTTTGGAAATATTGCAAGTGTGTGTTTTTTTTTTGAAAATAGAGTTTTTTTTAAAGATTATTTTAGGATCTAACTCATTTGTTAAAACACTAGTAAATCACACCAGACAATAAATTTTTTTGAGTGAGTTTATATTAAAAAATATTATTCTTTTTAGAAATTTATAATTGATCAATAACATTTGTAGGATGTATATGCATCAATTGTTAATTAATTAAGAAAATTCTAAATAAATATTATATCGTAATCACCCAAAACTAAATAAAAAATACACCAAATAAAGTTGATAGTAAAATTATAGATAGAGTACGAGAGAACAACAAAAAATTAATACAAAGTGATAAATGTTAAAAATTTATAAATAGGAATTTTTAGGTAAAATTTATTTTTATAAAATATTTGTAAATCAAAATTAAGAATTTATATAAATTATTATATATAAACTTTATTTTTTCCTGTTCATTGAATCAATTGAATCCATAATCACATACTTGACTCCACCAATATCTACAAATAGTGATATAAAATATTATCATGTATCCTTATATTATATTAAAATGAATATTTATAAGAATATGGACATATGGCAACTTTTTATTTATTAATAAGCTATATCATTTTTACTATTGCAAATCTACTTTTTGTTTACTCTATTCGCACCCACGGAAGATTTTATGTTAAAGATTGAATTTATAAAATTTGAGAGTTCGAAATTTTTAAAAGGAGGATCTTTACCATCTACCCGTTCTATCCACAGCTGGTTCCAAAACATTTACGATTAAGGAAAACGAGGGGGACATTGAAAGAAAAAAAAAGGTGAAATTGTATTGAAGAAATTCCAAGAAATTCACCTAACCTACCCCCACTATACATTGTCTTCTCCAAGTATCAACTACATCCACTAGCAGACAACATCGCTGAAGACATAAAGAAGTGCCCTCTCTTTATTTTTCATATTGACCTTCATTTTTTTAATGTGATCTGTATTCAAAATCTATCAGCGTGCTGATTCTAAGGGTCTACCTTCATAATCATTATCCACTAAACAAACCCTATATATGTATAGAAAGAGAAAGAAAGAACCCCAAAAGCAAGCCAAAAGGTAAATGGATGTTTCGAGGACGAAAGGGAAGAAAAACGTGCTGATGAAGGCCTGGGAAAGATGCAGGTCGCTGGGGAATACAGCAGGCAAGAAACCATCAGATACTCCATCTCCATTGATGAGAAAGAGCAAATCATGTCATGTTTTCCCAACCATTGAAGAAGACGAAGACAGAAAACAGAAGAAGAAGAAGAAGGACAAGTGCTTTGGTGTAGATCCGGAAGGTTGTTTTTCAGTCTACGTGGGACCCCAGAGGCAAAGGTTCGTGATCAAGACACGGATGGTGAATCATCCATTGTTCAAGTTGTTGCTTGAAGATGCCGAGCTCGAATATGGGTTCGGCGGTGAAGGTCCTCTTCTTCTTCCTTGCGACGTCGACTTGTTTTATAGAGTTTTGGCAGAGATTGATGATAATGGAGATGGAGAGATGAGTCGTTTTGTTTGCGGATTTGGTTATAGTCCTTGTCGTAATCGTTCAAGAAGCATCAATAAAGGATATGGATCGTATAAGCTTCTTTATTCATCTCCCATGATTAAATTGAATAGTAATTAAAGTTGCTGATTTTTCATTTTTTTTTCTTTGGTGGGATTGAAGTAGGAGAAGATGATGCACACAGAACAGTGTAATTGAAAGTTGTGTATTGTTTTCGTTATTTAATGGATATAGTAAACTACTTATACTTGAAGTATACATAAAGTACTAGTGCTTTTATTGCCTTAAAAGATTTTCAAAACTTTGTTTTGAGTTAATTGCATTATATGTCCTCAAAGTATGAACTTCATTTTAAATTAGTCTTTAAACTTTTTAATATTTCAATTTATCCCTAAGTTATTATTATCATTCTAAATTAGTTCTCAAACTTTTGAACATTTCAATTTCATCCCCAAACTATGATCTTCATTTTAAATTATTCCACAAACTTGACTCATACATATAATATATGCGTACCATACTTACCATGTTATATATCATATATGTTATTTATCATACCATTTGTGTACTTTATGTAACATCCTAAATCAGGGTAAGTGACTAAATTATAAATTTTGAAAACTATGTGCTCGATTTCGAAACAAGTTAAAAGTTTAATGACTTAAATAGGAATAATTCCTTATTGGATTAGATGATAATTATGGAATGTTGAAGGGTATAATAGTAATTCCACAAGAAAGATTTTTTTCCTCCTTTATATAGGATATAACACGTGGAAATGAAGAGAGACAAGGTTCTAGTTTCTAGAGTTCTCTTCTTATCCTTTCTTCTTCACGTGTGGAAGCCAAGAGCAAAGGTAAGATTTATTGTTGGTTGATATTTAACTGAATTTAAGATTGGGTTATGATCATTAGATGATAACTAAGCTTAAGGAAAGCTTAGGTTATCTTAAAACCACAATATGAGGAGTATATGAAGAATTTAAGAAAGGAAGTAGAAAAATGAAATCTTGAAATAGAGTTCATAATAAGCATGGGAAGTGAGATTTGACTTGTCATCAAGCTAATTAAGGGATATGAAGTGTTAGAATTAGATTCAGAACACGTTGGAATTTGAGTGAGATTCTTAAATTCTATATGGAGGATTGAATTTCTAAGTTTTAGAGGTATTGAATGGATAATAATTAGTTTAAGTAAGTGTATGCAAGTTAGAGATATAATAGGAGGTGAATTATGTAGTGTTGAGGGGATTATGAAGGGATTTCGTGCTAAAAAATAACATTTCTGGGCTATGTGCCTCGATGCATATTCAATGTGTACTGATGCATCAAGGGTAAAATCCCAGAAATTGTTCAAGGTGTATCGATACACATGAAGTGTATCGATGCACTCATTTAAAATAAAAACATCGAATGCCATCAGAGTATCGATGCACAAGTAGTGCATCGATGCATCCCCTTAAAATGCAAACATCGAATGGGATTTATGTACCGATGCATAGATAGTGCATCGATGCACCCGTCAAGGGATGCATGATACATGGTGTAGTGCATCGATGCACCCGTCAAGGGATGCATAATACATGGTGTAGTGCATCGATGCATACCTTCATTAAAAAGATGAAAATAACTTTCTTTTTAGTCTAAAGAGTGATAGTTTAGAATATATTAATTAGTATACTGATATGTATAAATGTATTACTATATAGATTTAGAGCGTAATATTGTTCCGGAACAATCGAGGGATTAGGATCAAATCAAAACAAGTAAGGCTAAGGTGAGTGCATAATATAAGTATAAGGTAATGGAAATAAGACTTGTGATAAGTCTATTTCCGAGGTAAATGTCATAGTATAATAGCATGAACATGCATATATTATAGTTTAGATTAAATGTGTGTAAGTTATATATGTTTACATAAGAATGTACTCAAATGCTTGTGTGGTAGAATATGAGATGTATGATTATCTGCATATGTGTTTATATGTTATAGTGAATGTTACATAATATAGATATATATATAAATTTATGAACTTATATGACTATGAAATATGAATGTGATATGTGCATATGGAGAAAACTAAGTGATATGAACTACGTAATCATATGAAAATAAGAACATGTGAAATGAAATATATGATAAGGAAACAGGGAACTCTATAAGAGTATTACAGGATGTGTGATAAAGAGCTATATGTTTATGCTTATGTGATAGAAATAAATGATAAATACAATAACAATGCCCATGTTATGTGATGTGAGAACCATAGATATAGTTGGCATGCCAAGAGTCGAGGGTTCATAGGTAATTCGAGACATACAGAGATCCTTCGGGATATACATAGGTCCTTCGGGACAACTTTCACATACCCTAGTGGGACCCCATAAGAGCTGTGGTAACAGTATAGTGCACAACCTCAATGTACTCGCATACCTTAAGTTCTCAACAATGTACATGGGCCTATAAAAGATATGAAAAGAGTTTGTATGATTGTATTTTATCATGTTACCATTGATTGCTTTAAATCACGTATGCACATGAACTAATAAGGAGATTAATAATGATCTACGCATATGTATTTATGTATTGCTATGTATTTTGAGATGATTTTGTCTGAAAGGATCAAATGAAATGAGGTTGGATAATATGATGGAATATAGTATGCATATAATGTGACCTGTTATAAGTGTATTATATATTTTAGTATGTCTCACTAAGTCTGTGACTTAGTGTGTAAGTGATTTACACATAGGTATAAAAAAACAAGAAGAACAGTCTTGGGGATCAGCAGAACAACATATTCTCATTTGAAGATCAGATCAGAAGCACCTGACGTAGTATGTTGGTTTATATTTTATATGTGTTGGCATGTAAATAGAGTCATATAGTATATACGCTCTGATCAAGGTGTAATGTTTTGAAGTGGTAATGTATACATAGTTTTATATTCATGAACGTTTTAAATTTAGGTTGGTTTTATAAATACACAAGCTTTGAAAAGTCAATGTGACACCTCATATTCGTATCGGGTCGGATATGGGTTGGGGGTGTTACACTTTACTCATTTTTAATAAGCATAAAGTCAAAATTAGTCCCCCAACGTGTATTAAAATGATCATTCAACTCGTATTTTTTAAAGTTTTTTGGTCACAACGTTTCATTTTGGGACAAAAAACCTCCTCTATGTATGAAAATCATTAGTTAACAAACGGTTAGCACTCTAAAATAAAAGTTTTTTATCCTAAAATGAAACACTGAGAGTCAAAATGATCCAATAAAAATAAGAATCATAATGACTATTCGATAAAACGTTAGATATATTTTTGCCCTAAAATGAAATGTTGAGAGCCAAAATACTAAAAAAAAAAGGGGCTAAATGGACTATTTTAATAAACATAAGGGGCTATATATTATGCCTTTTTAATATATAAAATTTATATTACGTTTATCGTTTTATGATCATGTAGGAGTTGATGATTCTTGGAACTGAGTTGATGGGTTCTTTAACCGAGTTGAACATAAAGACCAATGGAAAGTGTCCGCAAAGCCCGTAGTATTTTAATCGCTGGCCCAAACGTAGGCATTGTTGTAATATAAACCCTAGTTGTTCTCCATATTAGCTTTCTCCGTGCTTTATAAGGTTTTCATCCGCCGTTCTTAATAACAAAAAAAGCTTGGAAGAATTTTAGGAGTTGCAGAAATGGTAAATCCCAAAACTCCATTTCAATCAATCGTCTTCTATTCTTATGAATCGCCTTCATATTCTGTTTTTATTGATTTTATTGTTAAATGCAGGCTCCGAAGAGAGGTGGAAAAGTGGCCGTGCCTGCCAAGAAGAAACAAGTAAATTTTCATTACTTTCTTTACACCTGAACCGCTCTAAGAGCTCGATTGTAATCTCACCATCGTTTTGTTATTTTGATTTTTCAATATTAGGAGAAGGTTGTCAATCCATTGTTTGAGAAGCGTCCGAAGCAGTTCGGTATTGGAGGGGCCTTACCTCCTAAGAAGGATCTGCATCGATTCGTGAAGTGGCCTAAAGTTGTTCGCATTCAAAGGAAGAAGAGGATCCTTAAGCAGCGGTTGAAGGTTCCACCGGCATTGAACCAGTTTACCAAGACTCTTGACAAGAACCTTGGTCTGCACTAAAATCTTTGATCGTTTCTGATTTATGCATTAGATTCACCGCATTTGGTTTGAATGATTATTTGCACTACTGTCTTGTTTTGTGTTAAATTCGCATGGATGTTTGTATTGTATGAGCTTGGGAAATGGATTTGTAGTGTCTGTAGCAGGGATTGAAATTGCGGTTACGAATATGTTACATTTATCGTTATTGCAGACATAGTGTATGCTATTGCGGTCACTGCATGTATTGTGGTTTTGCAATAACGGTTTTAGACGGTGTCATTACTGCTATATAGTGGACACTATTCTGGTGGTGGACCACTATTTAAAACCCTGGTCTGTAGCAGTGATGGACGTACTTATAAAATTTTAGGAGAGGGAGAAAACAAATTATCAATAGAAATTAAAAAAATATTGGAATTATATTTGAATTTAAAACTTTTAGGGGGTGATTGCCCCCTGCAAGCCCCCTTTGGTCCATCCTTGTATCTAGGTATTTTTGATGTATAGTTCTGACCGTTCTCTCAATAAATTTTTTGTTTGAGAAAAAGAATGTGGATATTGGTGAATGTTGGAGAAATCTTTCATTGACAGCAAGGTAAAGCTGACTTTTTGAATTTGTGATAGGTAGTCGAAGATTGTTATTGTTGAATTTATTATCTGGTTTTTGAATGTTGTGTTGACTTGGGATGTTAAATGCCTCGTTATGATAATGTTTGTTCCTATTTATGTTTACACTTATTCTGCTATGTTTGTTCTCGAACCTTGTTGAATCTGTCATTCTTAATCATTTTTTATCGCCTCTTGCATTTGTGTTCCACAGCACAGCTGTATGGTTCCTTTTCTTTTTGTAATGGTTGTGAATGAATATTCGTCATTAAACATTGGTTATCTTGTATCCTGTTACAGCAACAAATCTATTCAAGTTACTCCTCAAGTACAGACCAGAGGACAAGGCGGCGAAGAAGGAACGGCTCCTGAAAAAGGCCCAGG